TCGGGGGGCCGCAGGCCGGTGCCGCTGGAAAGCGAGCGCCGCGCTCTCGCGCTCGTGGCCCAAGAGGCCTTACACGACAAGCAGAGCCCCTTTAGTAGAGCGAAGACGGTGGGCAGAGCGCAGGTGGATTTCCCCCGGGGCTGCGTGGACTCTGGGCGAACCAGCGATGACAGAGAAAAATGCGTCTCTTTGCTGGTCGTCCGCCTGATTGTACTAAGGAAAAGGCAGACGTGGAGCCGGCGAGCCGGCGGCGCTTCTGTCATGCTTGCTGATATCGACACGCTTTTTTACACCTACGATTGTTTGACCCTGCAGCAAACCAGGCCAAAGGACACACTTTCATGCGTCTGCCTTCAGGGACGATCCTAAACGGTCGGTCTTCTCACAGACCACAATTAACGCACTGTTCACCTGCTGTTATGCCCCTCAAGGCCTGAAAAGAGCAGCAGTAAGGGGAAGGGAGGTCATCAAGTGACAACAGCTTTTACACCTTCATCTTGAGTTGCCTTTGAGATAGCATGAGCAGCTCCGTATCACTCTTTCTTTCAGATTCGCTTAAGCAGTGGCGAGAGGAGGGCAGGATAGCCGTCTGGCTGCACGTCCCCATCCTCCAAAGCAGACTTATAGCCACGGCTGCTTCGCAAGGCTTTGCTTTTCACCATGCCGAATCAGACTCCTCCACGCTGACGCTGTGGCTAGGAGAAGGGCCCAGCAGGTTACCAGGGTATGCCACGCATCAAATAGGAGTTGCAGGTTAGTTCCAAAATTATTTTAGTTCCAGAATGAATTATACGTGCGTATGAAAAGATTAATGATTGTTTAGGACCAGGTTCAAATCATCCAGGCTTCTACACAACAAGCACGTCAAAGTTGGCTTGGACAACTTTCTAAAGTGTGGCGTGCCCTTCATGGTTGGGCCGGTAAGACAAACTGTGTATTTTACTGAAAACAGGCCAATAAAGAGAGACGTCAATATTCCAGTTTGAGAAACTTGTAGACAGCTCTGTGAGAAGAAAGCGTGGTCCTGAAGCTTTCAAAATTCACCGTCCCTCAGGACTATTGTTTTTATTTATCATTTTGAGAGACGTATCCTGCCTTTCACTTTGCAGGTTAGAGAGGTGGAATTTCACGGATCCAGCAGTCTGTTTTTAGAAACAGAAAAGCAACTATGAACTTCTTCAGAAAATTCTGTCTCCATTCAAATGTTATCTATCCTTGACTGTGGATGTTTAATATATGCATCTGCCTGAACAGTGCTCAAGTCAGGGTCTGCAAAATGGGGCAAACTTTAACCAATGGAAATTGTTCAGGGAATTGCTCACGCAATTGTTAGCATAAATTACAACAGTCCAAAAGCTCCTCTAAACTACACTTTAAGTCCACATCTCAAACAAGTATATTTTACAAATGTACCTGTGGACACACGTGCTCTTGCCATTAAGACCTCCCACAACAAAAGTCAGAAAGGAGTTGCTCTAAAAGCTAGGGCAATTCCCAAGGAACTAGATAAAACAGTTTCCTCTTGTTTTATACAGCACAAGATGGGGAACCAATGATGAGCCAAAAATAGAGTCAGCTTGATCTCAGCTTCATGAAATTTAAGTATTTTTGCCTTCTGTCTCAGGAGTCATCCATCGGAAATGCCGCTGTCTGTCCCATCACTCAGTAATCGCCTGTAATCTGGCAGTTGATTTGGACTCTTTCCATTCTGATAAAAGCTGTAACATTCGACAGTAAAGACAGTGACAGCAAATCCTTCTGATGACAAGCTTGAGTTGTTTGTCCTTGGCTGGAAGGACTATGCAGGATGTTAATTCATCACCGTGTGGTTTTAAGACTCATAAGGAGCTCTTTACAAATTCTAGTCAGAAAGGACTCATAAGAGCAGAATTATTCGTTGAAGCAACGGGTCAGATGTTTTTTCAAAAACCAGTCTTTAAATTAGTAGCTGTTAATGGGAGTTTTCAGCTAGAAAACCAGCAGAGGGCAGTATAGAAGCTCAAGATAGGCTTGGGTTTTTTCAATGGACATGTTTGAGCATGTTTTCCTGAGGTATGAAAACCTCACCATTAAAATATGTGGCATTAAACTCGAGTAAGACAATGAACTCCCCTAGCAAAAGCACAGCATTACTCCTTATGGTTATAACTTGAATATTTGAGAAAACAGAACTAATTGAAAGGGGATTTTTTCTTAAGCAGTTTTCGCATAGCTGGAAGTGCATTTTAAAATAAAATCACGTAATAGAAGTGTTGTGGCCCTGATGACTGTAACAAAGGACTTCGGAGTATGTCGGGAAATCGTATCTTTGAAAATTCTTTCATATAAATATTTGAAAATAGGAATATGAAAGATTTACTTTCAAATCATCATTTGCTATTGTGGTTTTGAAAAAACACGTTTGAGATAAACACCCTGCGCAAATAGAAACAAACCTTAAGGAAATAAGCAGTTTCATAAATGAAGGTATATTGATTTCATAATTAATTGCACAGAAAAAATGACTGCGATGTCATTTTACTGTGTTTTACACACTGCCAGTGGATATGGAACATGTTCCAAAAATGCATTAAGCACTGTGGACACCATCTGACATAGGTTTATTCCATAATCTTTCTAGCTCAAGAGCAGAGACTGAGTAATGGGAGGGTTTGATTTTATTTTTAACTGCATTTATTTAGATATTGACTAATTTAATGTCATTATTCATATGTGGTAAATGTGTATTGCCAAACCCTCGACATTTGTATTTCCTGCACTGAAAACTCCGTATTTTAGAGAGTTTCTGCACCAGAGAGGAGCAAATTTGCTGATGAGAGTCTTCATCTCAAAGCTGTGAGCAATCAGTTACATACTGGACCTCATCCCTTGAGCATCCTGAAAATAAAAAAGCGAGACCTTGAGAGCAGTTTGATAGTCTGTAGGAAGCCAACACAGGGAGCAGACAACAGGTAGCTAGCCTTTATTGCCAAGTAGACCGACTGCTGTTTTTGTACTGTCTGGAGTTTCCCATGCAGTGAACGTTGCACCTCTAGGGCTGCTGCATTACCATCGTGCAGCCAAGTGATGACAAAGGTGTGAATAAGCAAGACCAGGTCATGTTTTGCCAGACTAGATCAGAGTCGCCAAGCAGAGCAAGTAGCAAATGTTACTCATAGGGTTTGGCCATTATTATTTAAAAATAGTGGAATATGTGATGTATCTTCCAGCTAATTTACTGCATCCTTTTGTAGGCAGCAGGATTTTCCATATATGTAAAGGTTCAGGAAAGCTTCTGACGTATGACATGATTGAGATAATTTTGAAAAGCAGTTTCAACATTCTCCACCTCTCAGGAGGCAGTGGTCTGCCATCCAGAAAGTGATACATTTGTAAATATACCATATAACGGAGTACCTGAGAGGAAAAAAGTTAAAAGCCATTCCCTTTTCCCTCCTATGCAGTATTTGCCTTACAACATAGTATTATTTTCATTGTTTCCTACCTTAATCTGGTTGTTGAAAGAAAGCCCTGGGAGTTGAAGGGAGAGAAGGGTCCCTGCGCACACATGAGCACCAGCCTTGGCAAGTCCTGTTTCTTATGAAGGTGTGTAAAAAAAACAGCAGCTGTACAAAGGTCAAACTAGTCTGCACAAGAACATAAAGTTGGACAGGTTATGACTGTCCAAGGGATCAAAAGAAGTTCCCAAGTTTTTTTTACAAAGCAATACCTATTCCTGCTTGGTGACATTTACAATGTAAGCAGTCATGTTTGCACCCATGTGCAACACCTGCATGACGAGTGCTCTTCAACTCTGACCATATTTTTCATACATATTTACATCAGTCCTAAATGGAAAAAATAGAGGGTAGCTATTTTTCTTCTCCATTATTGGTTACCTAAGGGACTTTTTTCTAAATAATTTTTTAAAATCTATTTCCAAAAAGAGAACATTTGAACAAAGCAGTGTTGTAATAGTGATTGCTTGGTTAGGCTACAAGTGTAAACCTTTCCAGAAAGTCATCCTGGGGTGGGACGATTTAAAGCTGTAGGTATCACATTTGTACCAAGAGTGAGAGTCTTTAAAAACCACAGTTCAGAGTGCATAGCCAAACTGTGAGCTCAATGATACTAAACAGGTGTGGCCCAGCAAGCCTTAGCAGAGTGGCTCTTGAGTTACACTAGGGAAAAGGAGACTAGACGACAAATCCTGTTAGTGTTTTTCCTTTCTTCTTGCTTTTGATTTAAGTATCATCTATCACAGTTTCTGGACACCTCACATAACAATTCACTGCCAAAAATTACATTCACAGACATCAATTTCTTGGGAACAAAGGAGAGAAATGGTTGTGTCTGGTTGATTCAAACAGCACTTTCCTTTCTTTAGCAGCCCTCCCTGGTCTCAGAAAACCATTTGGCTGAAGAACGGCTTTTCTAGAAAATAATCGCTGCAATCACAGTATGCCTCAAAGTTCCTTCTGCTTTCTTTTTTCTCAATCAGTACAGTACTTGAACCACTACCGTGCTAAATATTTACAGGAAGAATGAGGTCATAAAAGTCACAAGCCATGAGGAGGCAGATACATGACTACCTCCTTAAAACATGTCCTTTGACATATCTTGAATGAAGATTGGTATTTCATCTTTTAAATAGTCCTCCTACACATAAGTCTGCCATGCATTATTGAAAAGAAACGGATGTTTTCAAGCTGGACACTCATTCCTGAATAATTCTCTTCTGTGGAAATGTTTCTCCGTAATATTTTTGATGTGTTTATCATCACAGATCTATCCACAGACGACGACTCCTGCTAGAAAGTGATAGCAGCATTTTTTTATAGTTGAAATCCACTAATTTGAAATCCACGCAAGACTAATGTGGAAAAGAGCCTGGTAAATTGTGCCACTGTTCTCATTCTGCTCACAACAGCACATAAATTTAAAATCTGACAAAATGCTCATTTTAAAGGGAAGACATTTTTAAAGTATGACTACTGAGTGTGACATGATGACTAGATGTGAAAGCACTTGGGTTTTAAAAAATAAAAAAACATGTAGCCTGTAGAAGAAATTCATGGGCTGTGAGCACTGCGACACAATGAAAGGCTGAATTTCTTAGTCATGCATCCTGATATTCTTGAATCAAGTGAAAGTGTCACTTCTCCATGTGGGAGCAATGTTTTTTGATTAACAAGTTGACTCAAAATACTGTGTGTTCGTTATGAGGAATTGTTAGCTGAATAGCACAGGATGAATTTTTGGATAAGCCAACTGATAGAAGAATGTTTTCATGATCAGTACCATCAGCCCATCGCAAGTGGCCTTGTGTTATTAACCAGAAAGCTCTCAAAACTTCATTGCAAGATGTGGGGGGGGGGGTTCGTCATGAATTTCAGTGGAGAAAAGTTCTCACTCATCATAGTTACCCAGCCAACGTCTTTGGAAAAATTTACGTTATTTGAGCAAGTTTACAGGCAGGTCTCCACTGAAGAAAGAAAAACTTTGCTAGATTGTTTGGAAGAGATCTTGATCTTACATTCTCCAGTTTTGATAATACTAACACATGCAAAGTATTCATCTCATTTCCCGTCTCATCTGGAATTTAGATTTGCGAAGCATTTATCTTGGTGCTGCTAAGTTTGAATTTTTATACTTTTTTTTTTTTAATTGTACTGCATATTGGTTTTTCCACTGACAAACCACTTTATGATACATACAGACAAATCTTGCTAACTGTAAACTGAATCTCATTAGGGTTTATCTCGCTTTATCGAAACATACTAAATTGTGAGTTTTAAGATAATTGTCCAAAAAACTTTAATCTTTTTCAATATTATCTCTCTAATAGGTGCTGTTTTAGATGAAAGCACTGGAAAAGTGTTGGTCATACAGGACAGAAATAGGGTAAGTTTGTGTTAAAATTCTAAAAAAGAGAGACGTTCATTTAGATAAGCTTACTCTGTATTATAAAACAGAAATCTTTTCACTTTCATTTCAGTCCATAGTTAAAAGTTACTTCCTTTCACTAGTATTTTGGAATGAGTCTATCAACAGATTGTCGTATTTGCATTTGAAGAAAAACCAAATAAATAATAGACTTTGAAAATAGATGGCTTTGTTGTTAATTGCAGTTAATGATTGACTGATTCAGCAGAATGGAATGACATACTGCCTCATGACTGCTTACAAGAGGGCACTGTATCAAATTAAAAGGATAAAAAATGGTAAAAGCCTTGACAATTTACACAGATTTCATCTTTCATCCAGCTCAGCTGGGCCATAATTTCAGCTAAGGCCCACAAACATGATAATATATGTATGCATATGTGCTCATCTGTATTGCTTTTTTCCTTGCTAGATTTTAATTTTTTTAATGATAATTAAAAGTTACTGATAATTAGTTTAATGATAATTAAAATTGCAACAGATAAAAAATCAGGAGAGAACAAAGACAAGCTTATGTAGCGTAGTAGTCATTCTCAATAGTTGCATTTAGCTGCCCAAAGAAGCAAACAAAAGCCTGATTTACAAATCCTAAATTACATACATTGTCCAATTCTAAATAGGTGTAAAATACAGGTGTTCTTGTGCAACATTATGTAATGTTTTAATAAGAAAGTGAAGGAACCTGATTGTCCACCAGAGATATTCTGTTCTATGTAAAAAAAGCTTAGTAAAATTAAAGTAGCTCTTCCACTACTCCATTCCTTGCTCTTTTATGTGTAGCATATACATGACTTGTCTGACTGAAATACCACGTACTGATATATCTAGTAGATGAGATACTTAGAGAATTGATACAAATTGCTGTAGAATTTGAAAAAGGAGTCTTTGGCAAGTTGGCAACCCTTATACATCCTGCAAAGCACATTTAACAAACATGCGATTTAAAATAGTAGAGCTCCAGTTAAAGCACCTGTCATTTAACTTCCTTCAAAATCAGTGTGTCATGCAGTATGGCTGGATAGTGCTGTAAAATAAATTCCTTGGGCTGTGAACCAGAGGCCTTAAAGGTGGACTGCCCCCAAGGCCTAAAGAGCTCTTAAGGTTAAACCCTGTGGAAGGATGTATAGCAGGTAAGGTGCTACAACGCATAGCTTCTCAGACCTGGTCTGAGCAAAATGCAAAAGTTAGTTAGATGCCTGCAGTCTACAGAGCCTGTGTTCCTTCCCAGTGAAACTCGGCCACTCTTCAAAGAGTAATCCAAAATCTGAGGAGGCAAAAGATGAGAGATTCTGATGCCTTAGGTCAGAAACTCAACTGAAAAGAGAAAAAGCCAACTTCCCAGTTCCTGTTTCCCTCACCGTTTATGCATTTCATATTATATAGACACTAGATGAAAAAGCAAAAGTAATCATTTCCCACTGCCACCTTTTCTCCAACCACGCTGTAAAAGGCCCTCCTTGTGGTTCGGGAACACAGCATCAGTAGTCCCAGTTCGGTGCGTGCTGAGCAAACGCCCTGGACGTGCACAGGGAGCTGAGGCATGGGTGCTAGGGACCAGCTCTGCCGGGTCTCAGGCCATAGCTAGAGCTGGCTGGGAACAGCAGCTCTGCTCCACTGGGGCAGGCCTGCACACCTGCTGCCCGCAGGGTAGCAGCCTCGAGAGATCACTGGCATCACTAGTTAAAGGCGAGCGATGTTCTGTCCCTTTAGAAGTGCAGCCTAGATTTGGCTATTTAAGAAGGGAACCTAGGAGTTGAAAAAAAGCAGCCAAATGTTTAAGTAATTTAAACAGTAATATCAATAAACAGTACTCGCAGACTGAAAGTATGTAACCCTGCTTATAATCTGTACTGTTTTAAAATGGGATTTTTAACAAACAAGTACCATGATAGCATTTTAAAAGAGCCACTTTAATAATTCTTTTTTTTTTTTTTTTTTTTTTTTAACAGCAAATAAACACTATGCTTTTATTCCAGTATATTTTTTTTCAGGTTCAGGACAGATATCTTCCTCTGTCTACCTATTTTTAAATAATAGTGTGTTTCTCAAAAAAAAAAAAAATTTTATTCAACTTTCCAAGTGGATTTCAGACAGTTAACTGGGCTGTGCGAGCACAGCTTCAATGCAAACAAGTTTATGTCCAGGAGCAGAGCCGAGAATAATACAGTTGCCTGATATGGAGTTGCCTGCCTTCCAAGCTGCTAGGCAACCACAGCAAATAATCTGTTATGAAAGTGAGAGAAGATAACTCATTCATTAAAAAAAAAAAAAATCAGTGAAAAAGTGCTGATTAAAAGTGTTCTCATTCTAGTTTAAAAAGTAAATCGCATCTTAAGCAAGCACTATACTGCTTCTAAAATACATCTAATAATTAGAGCATCTCTTGCCACTGAGTTACCAGGTACAACTTTATTCACCGCAAACTTCCACTATCTAAAAGGAACAAAAGTCTATGCAAATTTGAGCATGACAACTGTTTTCTTGAAAAGTTACTTTCAAACAGAAATCCCCAAAGAGCAACAACATGGGGAAGATATTACGCCGTATTGTCCTGGAGGGGAAGAAAACGGTTGCAGTATTCTGAGCACTAGCATACCTGTATACAAGGATACTTAATTCCTCAAAATAATTTCATTGATGATCATGAGTGTTTGCCATACCCCTGAAAATTATGAAGGTCATTTAAATCACTCACCACTTTTGCATGTTCTCCATTTATTCTTCCAGCAAAGACAATTCCACTCTGCTCCCCCGTCTCTCACGTGACATACATTAGAACAGATCCCAAAATACATATGTTTCTTTACATTGGCTTCATCACCCAAGTATCCCTTCTGTTTCAAGTGTTCTCTTTTCTCCTGTAACTGACCTAAAAGATCCCCTGATCTTGTGTTTGGATCTATGCAGACCTCTGGAAAACCCCCATGGCTGTAAGCACATTTTGGGAGAAGGATTCTGGTTTTGTTTGGTTTTGAAAATTCCAGGCATATCTGTGGCTTTAAATAAGCAACGATGTGGTTGACCATGACCTGGAGACATCACCTTTGTAAAGCAGGTGTAGAGATCATTAAACGCTCGTAGAGCGAAGTGCTTGACCTCGCTACAGAGGATGCCAAGCCAGAGTATTAGTGTGGTGATGGTGGGTTGTGTGATGTGGCTGGAGGTAACCAAACATCCGTCATTGGGAGCATCTTCCAGCCTCTATCAAGCAAACTTAAGGTTTCAATACAGCAGGTGCAGAAAGCTCACTAGCAGTTGCCCGCACCATTCCATTATCTCTTATGAGTTCAAGACAGTAAATTTAATGACTTCAATTAAAATACACGCCTTTCATATGCTTTGAGTAAATGAATAAACTTCTGGAAATGAAATAGAAGTCTCTCCAGTACAAGGAGGTTACTTGCCATTATAACATGGAAACAATCAAAATTTATACATACTAACTTAAGTATAATTGGATGCATTGTTTTCGATTCATATAGTTACATTGAAGCCAGAATCTCACTAGCTACATTCTTCTGCCTTTCCTGAAATAAATACTCACAGATTTGTTCTCAAGAACCAAACTAACCACTGCTTCAGCTTACTAGTAACTACAGGACAATTAAAGAACTTCAACAAAAGGGTGCTTTCACAGACATGTTCAGTCATACAGCATGTTGAATTTGTAATGCAAGAGTTCAGAGAAAGAGAGGCAGCCCTTTCTTGCTGCCTTAAAGTACTGACTTCATATTTTTACTTAGTGTAGAGCAAAAAAAACTTCAAGGCTTTTTTTTATAGTAGGGCTTTCAGACTTGCGTTCAGTAATTACCAATTAATGCATAAATATAGCACGCAAGGTACAGGCTCCAAAAATGGTTCAAACTGTAGAGGAGAGTCTCTAGGACCAGAAGAGAACATACAGGCAATAGTACACTTTAGAAATACTACATTTATTTTTCCTTATTAATTCCTGCAGGTGTGAAAGTGAAGAACGGCATGCTTACCTTCTGGTAAATATCTTAAATACTCAGTTCTCAAGAAAATAAAACCAGAAATGGCACATTCCACGTTCTGTATATTTAGAAGGATTTAACTGTAGTTTCCTAAGCCCATGAAGTAATGTAGGCTTTAAGGTTCAACTTCCTACCCTGTGTTTACGTTAAAGGTCACCCACAGTGATTTTAGGTACACATACCTCGATCCGGTTTCACATTGAGACACCAGATGATATATTAAGGCTCTAGGTCCAACTCCATACTCACCAGACACTACTAGCTTAGCCTCAGGCCCTGAAACGTAGAGGACTAAGCACAGCACCACTCTTCCCTTCCGTTTATTCTGAAAAGTGAGCTGGCTATATTCCAGGTCAACTATTTCAGCTTAACCTTTCCAGAACAAAGCTGATACTTAGCACAATGAACGAAAAAAGAAAAGCAGGGGGATAGGGGGAGTGATTGTATTCGACTCTCATCGTTACAGCGCTTATTTAGTGACTGGATAATGCTAAATATAAAAACTGAAGTGCATGACTATCCATACGTTTCTTGTGTAGCGAGCAAATAAAATAGTGCAAACAAATGGCTCAGGTAACTGTTTCCCGATGTCCATTCCACCGTTTTTCCTCCCTCCCCCCAGTACAGCATTTCCCTGAAATGGTGACTCTTTTATAGAAACAAATGATACTTTGAAAGCTTGAAAAATCAGGTTTATATGCAGCTTTTTTATGCAAGCTAGTGGAATTTTTAGAGCTGTTTAGGTTGTATCATGAAAAAGGACAATTCCGCAGCACACTAGGAAAGATTTCCAGGAACTGAAAACAAATCTGAAAGCCAAGAAACAAATATATGTATTTTCCATCTGCAGTATTTTTAATCTATTACTCTAAATTCCTATCCAAGACCTTTAAGAGTGCCCAGAAAAGCCATTTTCCAATGTAATCAGTGGGTTTCAAATCACTGGAAAGCACACAACTGCTCTCTCTATGCTACATGTACAAGGAAAGGTACCCCCCTCCCCCCCATTTTTTCTGCATTAGTCTCTAGCTGAAGGTTAACTTCTTCCTACATATACTTTTAATTTGGAAAGGAGGAAAAAATAAACAGTACATAGATGTAAAGGTAAAACCTGCAAACCTTTGTTATTGCCAAGAGATCAGGAACTGACTCTGTTTTACCAACATCAATTACAACACCAAGTCTGCAGTTCACATTCTGTTTTAATTACTGAACTTTATTGCAATTCAATAAATGTTTCTATATATAAATCACACACAAGGCCTCAGTTTTTTGTATTCCATAAAAACAAATGATAGTTACATTAAATGGTTATTACAGACAAACAAAATCATCTTAAAGCCAGTGCAGTATAGAACAATACTACAATCATAATATCTGTTTGTAAGATTAAATAATATATACACTTATACTTATAAAAAGCCAAAAACATGAAAGTGGAATACATCAGTGATTAAATATAAGACTATATAGACTATAGCAGCTTCTTTTAATATCCAGCTACTCTATCTAGTTATCTAGCAGCAACTTTGTCTAATGATTGTTAGACAGTTTGTATTTTCAATCAGTAGATGTTTTGTTCCAATATTTCCTACAGACTGTAAGATATCTTTGATCATCACATTAGTAAGAACAAAGAAGTTCCTATTTAAAGCCCTACTGATATTTGTAAGAGGAATTACAATACTGCGATGTCAACAAAAAGGTCACGTGTTATTTGTCTCCTTCATATTAGAGAAGGCAACATAGATTGCAAACTTCATTAATATTTTTTTCCTCCAATACAGACTGTAAATGCATGGAAATTTCCAGGAGGCCTTTCTAATCCAGGCGAAGACATTGGTAAGTCCTTGCATAATAGGTCAGACATCAACAGAGTTATAAAGACATTAACAGCACTGAAACGTATATACATTATGACCCAACGTACTTGTGTAAAATGACTCCTGTGACTAATCACTTCCTTGAATGAATGGTTAATAGAGGAAGTGACATGATCCTATGTCCTTAAGATTAATGGGGCAACATCATATTCAGGGCAGAAAAGCTTTGTGTTTATAATATTAACACTTTTCCACGTTTTCCCTTAAAAGTCAGGTTTGCAGCCAACTTGTTTATTTTCTATAGGCTTGTTGGATATGCTGTAATATGAGCTAGAAGCGCACAGGATGAAGGTAGTCAGTATATAACCAAAATAAAAACTGAAATAAAAGAGTTCTCAGCTCACACTGGAATCCAGGGTGCTGAACTCAATGATGTATGAGCAAAAATTTCCAACTCTACATTTTTATGGGCAAAACGGGAATAAATACACTTGCTTCTTTCTACCCTTGTCCATTTGAGCTATTTAGACTAAGAGTTCTTTGGCACAGGACCTACGTAAGCGCAGTGCCCGAGTCTCGTGGGCGCCTCCTTTCAACTAGCAACATAAGGCACTTCTATATTAAAAAATGAAGTTGATTTGAGGAAACCCTTCATTTCTACCTAGCATAGCAGAGGTGATGATGAATACAATTGCTGCAATTATTTTCAGAAGTGAATGAACAAAAGTGTGTATGAAGGGATAGAAAATTGTGCTTTTTCTCCTCATATCTCAGCCCCTTAAAATTAGGATCCACAGCTTGTGATTCTTAAAACATACTGCAGTTATTAGGTTAAGTCTTGGTTTCAAAAGTTACATTTGCTCGTACTAAGTTAGCCCCACATCAGTGTTGAGGTACTACTACATTCTTCTGGTAAGCAAAGTAGGACCCAAAAAATGTTGCCCAGAGCCACGTAGAAGCTCTGGCAAGCTGGTATCGAGCCCAGGTTTTCTGAATCTGTTTTGTACCTTACAAATTTCTCTACAGTGCCCTAGCAGTCTTCTACAACAGTGTGGGAAGGGCTTGTATTCCAGTTCATAATTTCAATACATGGAGAAACTGCTTTCTAGTTTACATTATATGGTTGAGATTTAATTTTCCTGACTCATTTTACAATTCATCACATTCTAACTAGCTCTGTTCTCTCAAAGACAGTGATAGGACAATGCAAGTACATATAATGTAGTGAGATGGATTCATGTTTGCTAAAGAATCCTGAACACTGTGTGTTTGTTGCCTGGCCAGGCTCCCTTTCATTCTTGGGGGAGAGGGGGAGAGGGGGAGAGGATCTAGGCCAGGAGATACCAGAAGAGTTTTTGTACTAAGGGAGGAGAATGACAAGGCCCAGCAACAACAGCTTCGCTAGGGGAATACTGTTACCAGTGGCCATCCCTCAAATAACAGGTGAGATTATGGGTATTGCTCAGCGGAGCATGGATGTAGCTATCAAGAACTAACAAACTGGGAAGAAGTAAGTCTCTTTAGCTCTCCTCATGCCACTACTAAACAATATAATAATAAAAGTTACAATTTTCTCTATCACATCTTAATATTACAGGAAGAGATAAATTAGAATAGCATAAAATAAAATAGAGCTTAATTTTCTTTTTCATCACATACATCAAGCCTTATAAATTCACAATCATTCAAGAGCCTAAAAAAAAATGCATTTCAAAAATGTCAGAGTGCAATTACACTGCTTGAAGATCCTGTGATTATATAAAATGACCAAATACATGACTGCCTACTTGAATGGAAATAAATCGATTTGCACAAGTAATTCCAAGAGTTTCATAATGCAGATTTAAGCATCAAATTGCACACACTTTTTTGTGTTTGAATATTTTTTAAACCCAAGCCCTACTGTTTCTTCAACTGGTCATTATCTTTTAAATATATATACATTTAAATAAAAGAGAAACAGAAAAAGGAACTTGATCTCAAAGCAAAGCTCAAAGCTTAATTAAAACCTGTAATTGTTTCATTTTTCCTTACCATGGCATGCCTCAGCATTTCTCATGAGCTCAGTCGTTTACCTCCTCTGACCACTTTTGTGTAGTACAGCCATTTGCCTAATAATAAAGTTACTTGCCTCATAACAAAAACCACTTGCCTCGGGGAGTTTGCTTCCCAACCACTATTTCACATGAAAGAGGACTGCAGGGGCCTCTCCCAGGACAACCCAGGACACAGTCTCCCCCAAGGGTCAAGAACGGTAAATAAGTATATTCCCTCATTTTATTTTTTTCCCCTCACATGCAGTAGCCTTTTCATTAATACTGTAATAAATGTCACAAATGTAATAAATGTTTTGCAGGCGCCATGTATCAATGGTCTCCAGTCCTAAAGACAGCTCTGTATGCGCTTAATGTTAGCTTTACACAGACTGTTCTATTGCAAGATGAAAGTTTAGCTGAGGGAGAAGTATGTGCAGGATCAGTGCTATTAACATACAGTTGTTTGATCTCTGCCAGATAAATCATTTTGCTTATACGTTGCTAGCCACTGTATATCCTGAAACTATTTTCAGTAATTTGCAAATACACCTAAAATGTCTTTTTTTTCCCATCTCTGACAATTCGAGATCGTGGTTTGTATAGAGACTCTTTATAGGGTCTGGTGAAATGTATTTTGCTTTTGGAAGCCAGTACTCTCATTCCTTACAGAAAATGAACTGACTGAAGCAGGTAATTTTGCAAAACAGCTATATGCATTTACCACTCAGACAAGACACAGCTATTAGCTTACCAACATTAAAAAAATATATATATATAGTGTTTCACCTATTAGTAACTGCTCCAGGCAAGTAGAATTTGTCATGACTAAACTGCAAAATTTTGGGAAATAAGCAGGCAGGCTATCAAAATCTTGTTTGGGCTCTTCAACTTCAGCTGTTACTCAAAAGTACATCTTCTGGCTTCACCTGTGGTCCACAGACCCTCAAGAGCTTTGAACTTGTATCTGCTTTTGTTATGAGAAAGATAACATATATATATGTTCACCTCAGCTGTCGTACACACAATGTACACATGCAACAGGGATGGAGCATATTGTCTGCAACAACAGGCTCCGCGCCATACTAGTATTATGGCGCATCTGAACTGTCATTAGACATTTAAGATACATTCTGAAAAGGCCTCGGGGCCAACTTTCATTATCTGCAAACAATATCTTTCCCCATGTTTTCAAACATCATGGCAAAATGCCACAAAACTAAGTGATTTGATCAAGTGATCTGATACACATGCAGGCGTTCAGCTGCAAAGGGTCTGTACCTGAAACTAGATGGAGGCAAGGAGAAAGGCAGGGGGCTAGACTCAAAGGACTGAAAATCCGGTGCAACTCTATGCTATCTTGCATAAAAGAGGTCAGTGAAGCCAGCAACCACCACGTCCGTTTCAAAACCACAGCCTGTACAACATTACGGAAAGCTTCCTAACTTTCCTTATTGTGTAGGATATACACAAGAAAGGCACGACAGCCCCCAGCAATTAGTTTTCTGCAGGGACCAAAAAATGTGCTTATCCTTGTGTTGAAGCATGCAGGCTTTACATTCTGAACAGCTCATTAAGCTTATTAGCGCGAGAGTGCTTTAAGTCAGAAACGTTCCATGATCAAAAGGTCTAAGAAGCGTTAGGCTATTCTTACATGTTTTATCAGAATTGTTCTCTTCATGTAGGAGACACAGCAGTTCGAGAGGTTTTTGAAGAGACTGGCATCAAGTCCGAGTTCAAGTCCATCCTAAGCGTAAGACAGCAACACAGACACCCCGGGGCCTTTGGGAAGTCAGATATGTACATCATCTGTCGCCTGGAGCCTTCCTCCTTCACCATCAGCTTCTGCCAGCAGGAATGCCTGAGGTGTGAGTGGATGGACCGCGATGAGCTTGCCAGGACGAAACACACTACTCCCATCACCAGCAACGTAGCTAAGCTGTTACTTTATGGATACCGAGAAGGGTTTGATAAGATTGATATAACCATGAGAGAGTTTCCAGCTGTTTACACAGGCCTGTTCTACAAGCTATACCACAGGGAGCTGCCCGAGTCCTATAGAAATATTACAGGATAGGAACAAATTTCACATTTTATTGAACTAATACTTTAGAATGTTTACTGTCGAGTTATTTGGACCATGTTAAAATAATTCATGGACTACTTTTAGGATGAAAGTCAATATTCACTCTTATTTTCTAATAAAGCGATAGATAAGTTATTTTAAATGGTAAACATTCCTCTACGTGTGCATCAGATTAGTTTTCCTTTACTCTATAAAGCAAACGTAAGATAAATAAAACAGCTCTATCTAGATATCTAGTAGAAAACAGGTGTGTTATTGAATCTGAACATCCGATATATTTTCCAAGTAAGTTTACCTCCACACGCACTGGCACAATAGGTTTAAAGAGCAATATAAAGACAGTATGAAACGTTCATGTTTTTAATTAGACAACTGCAAAAGTAGTTATATTAGCAAATAATTGCTTGTATTTCTGCTAGTTTAGAGAGGAGTAGGGAACTACCTCTGTAATGTAGTATGGCATGTTTTCAGAATCTGCTGTGGAAATCAGCTTTTAGCAGACATTGGAAGAAAAAGGATAGCTTTCTGTCCAGGTCCAGTTTTTGGTCCGGGTTTGTACTGTCCAGTTCTTTTCAGTGCCACATACCAATCAGAGTATTTCCGTGACCGATAAGTGTTATAGTTATTGGATTCCAAACGCTCAAAAAAGAAACATTCTTCTGTTGCACACTTCTAAAAAGGGGAAAGGAAAAGGATTATTGGTATTGCATCGACAGATCAATTCTTCTGATTCACAGGAGTAACTTATCAAGAACATAAATTAGCAGCACATTTAGTATTAAGAAAGTCATATAAAATGTTCTGTGTTTAAAGACAGATAGTTATATTTTTAAAATAGTTAAAAACACCTACAAGAAGGAAAGTTTTTAGCTGTGATTAATTTGTCTTTAACACAGACCAAGCAGATCCTAGTTTGTTTTCACTACGTAATTATTTGTCCCTATCTGAAATGTAATCAAACAATTAAATGAAAAACCCAGTATGCTAGATCCTGACTTCCATACTCACCAGTTTTACCATCTCATCCTAAGTTAAAATTTAACCAAAAAAAGTCAGGATATATTTAAAAAAAAAAAAAAAAAAAAGGAGTGCTTCCCTTGCCACCTTCAAACTAAACTTTTTATCAATTAGATAAATAGTATGGCATAGAGTTTCAGCCTTTGTCTTTTCTCTTCTAATTGTAAGGTTTAAGCTTCCTGAAGTGAATTCAAGTCTTCATTTATACTGTTCTAAAACAGTGGCAAGCCTGCGTATGTTCAAGTTTTTTTTTTTCTTCTTCAAACTTAAAATTTAAGACTTTTTAAAATCTTTAAGGAAAGACCAGACCTAGCAAACAGGTATATTCCACACAGAAAGCAAACATGCTCCATCCGTCTACGATAAATTATCTTCCTCAAAATGGCACTGCCAGTCTGCTTAATAGTTTAGAAGTACATCTGTGGAATTATTCTACTTTTGGAAGCAACTCTTCCAACTACTTCACCTACGCTAAGTTAACATGCCCTAAACACCTACAAATAAAAAAGGTGGTTCTTTGCGCAACAGGTAAAAATTGAGCTGAGGAAGTCATCACCGTAGGAAGTTACAGTTTCCCACAGCTTAAATGGCTTCAAGTGGGTTCTGGGCAAGTTCACGGAAAATAAATGCACTGAGGTTTACTAAGTATGTAGAAACCTGGCTGAGAAGGCCCCAAAGCTGCAACTGGTTGGAGGCTGGGAGAATATTACAGGGAATTACTGGAGATTTCTTCACTTACACTCTGCATATAGTTACCATCAGAGGGAAGACACTGGACTGCACACAACCCCTGAAACAGGAAGCCTGCTATTATGGCAGGCAGCGTGATACCCTTTTTTCTGCATATCTCTGCACGCAGCAGAAAACTCTGCTCCCTCAGGGTGACCGTACCAAAGAGAAACGGTCTTACTTTTCAAATGATCCCATTCGTATCAGTGAGATCATTTAAGAAAGGTATTATCTACTGCAATTAAAAACAGAATCTAGCCCACAAATTCTGCTGGATTGCTATTATTGCCTGGGGGACTTAAAACCCAGCCAATTTAACTATGACTAGTACTAACAGCTGCTCATAGCCAAGAGAAAACAGGGAAGTTTACTCACTGTCTGAAATTCATCACCAAGAAATTCACATGGTTCCTCCATATCAATAAATATTAGAGGACATAAAAACAACTTTAAATAAGATCTCATTCTACTGGAGGAGGATCCCTATCCCTGTTTAACTGCATTTATCCCACAGCATATTCAGAACAGCAAACCCCTGTCAATTGTTAACATTTTTCTAACAGTGACAACAGTCGCAAACCTGACTGCAGAACTTACACTTTAAGGAAGAGAAAGTATTTTCTCAAAGATTTGTCAATTCATCAAATCAGTCATTCTCATTTACCCTGAAAAAATTATGCAAAGGCTGAAGGAAGAAAAAAGCTAGTCATTAAAAAGAAAAGCATGTAAAATCTTGGAGCGGAGACAGGAAATGTGAAGAAATTCCTAAACAACTAGACTACTCTGTCACAATTTTCTGTTAATATCCATCAGTATGTAAAGTATCCAACTAGAACTAAAACATGGAGTATATGTAAAAATATACAAGAGAAAAATAACTTCTTATATATGCCAAGTTCCTGTTGCTATAAGCAATTAAGTCAGTCAAATGCAATCTGGAATAGTGATCTGTCTCCAGACATAGTCTTCAAATTTAAGTTTTGGCAATAAAAATACAGCTCCTTCATTTCCACGCTTTTCAGATATGAATTTTGGTTTCTAAAGAAAACTTTTAATATCCACGACCTATTTCTAATTTCTACAAATCACTAATGTTTTTACATTTCACATAGCAGAAATCAATTTAATAATTTTCATGATTCGTATTTTAAATAGTCTTTCTCAGGTAAATCATATTTTAATGCCTTTCACTCCAGCAACGTGAAAACAGATGCGTTAATCATCTCAAGCCACAACGATCCAAGTCTGAAATGGATTATAGAAGCCTTAAGAGGGCACAAAAACAGTATAAAGAAAAGATGCATTCAAAAGCAAAACCAAACATTAAGCAGAGTTTAGGCAAGTTCAGTACAATTGCCCAAACTGGAAATTCTGGCAAAGCAAATTCTTAAACCATCATATAGCTGATTAACACGTTGCTCTCGCCTCTCACCCCAGAAGGTGGCACTTCTAGGAGCACCAAGGCTACCCCCTGCCACGCTCACACCAGGCACGGACTTGACGCCTGGCCGAGCACTAACTCTGAATCCTGCAGCCACCTGGTTTCTCTGTGCACACTGCCCAGTAAAGCACGGTCTCATCACGCAGCAGGGAAATTAGAGCAGACCCACAACTGGTGAAAACTCAGTCTTTATAAACAGGCTGTCAGGCCCAACTTCAGCTTCGCTTGGGAAGGAAACGGCCTCCTGTACCCCAGTGGTGAAGGCAGGGGGGCACTGCAGGACTCCAAGCACAGGTGAAAGGCAAGATGGCACGTCAGCCCCTGCTGTGTGCGCTCAACCACCACTGCAAACGCAACCTCTACTCAAAGAAATGCAGGGGGTTTTTTTAAACATTCCTCATACTTCCCAGGTTTAAGAAGTAAAATTAAACTCCTCAGATAGACTTTGAGGCATTCGACAGGCATCGTAAGAAATGAACCCGATCTGTTGCCGGTGGAAGTATTTCAGCACAGAGGGCTACGTTTCAGCGGCTTCCTGAGCCGTTCAGGGAGCCCCACAGGCTGGTGGCCTGGGCTGCTGGCCACGGGGCTGCTGACCGAGGCCCCTGGAGCAACGCTGCGTGCCAACGCTTTGTATTACGCTCGCTCTCGGCTGCGTTCAAAGCGGCGATCCAGCAGCGACAGACTGCACGGCACGCCACGAAGCGCCCGAACTCCTGCGGGCCCTGCCCGGCGGCTGCAGCGAGGCCACCTCGGCCTCAACACGGCCCGCGGAGCTTGGCCCTTTTGCGAGTAAATATTTTGTCTAGTACCAAGCAAGAGCTCCGTCCGGGAGAAGTCTGAGCAACTACGTGAAAACAAACACTGAACGCCGGAGCTGCGCACGTTAGCAATGCTGGTCGCGGCCGGGCTCGCACAGCCGCCTGCTGTGTGCCACCGCTTACGGTAGCCAAAGCCGGAACTGCTGCCGAAATCATGGTGGGGATTCACCCGCTGCACAGTAATTGACTGAAAGAGGCAGCAACTTCCCGAGACAAAAATCCTTCCTCCCTTACTTGCACAGCCAAAAGCCACCCACTGATTCATTCGCAGTGCAAACGGCGTCTGCCTTAATAGCACAGGCTATGTCAATTAACAAGTTTCGACGGTTTTGACTCGGATTAGCAATTAAAATTCCTAAGGCAACTGAAGTTCTTTGTAATGTTTGCTCTCACTAAAAACTTCAAACTGGACAGTTAGCCTGTAGCAGTGCCTACCAGAGTGGATGGATAACGACCCAGAAACATGGTAAAGTGTTTACCCTTTTATAACTCTGGCAGGGCCAGGAAACGAAGATTAGTATCACAGATATTCTTGTATCACAACTTTAATCCATAATATCAAAAGAAAGAAATTTCCCTTAAAGTAACAAGTCCTTCGGTCTGATGAAACCTGTCTGATCACAGCTAACCCACATAAATGTGACACACGCAGTGACAGCTGATATACTTAAACGACAGATTACTTGTTGTGAAATGCCAGGATTGGTCAAAAATACAATTCTTCCTCCCATGGGAAATGCCGAGAAATTTCTTTATAAACTAAAATATTCCAAAATGTTTAATTCAGTACGGTGCAGCCATTTCATTATTATCATTTAAATGAAACTGAAAAGTCAAAATGAAACACGGTAGCCCTATCAAAAATGAAACGTTTCAGGTTTTCCATTAAAAATATCATGGAATTGATGCATTTCTGCAAAACCGTTTTAGTCAAAACGGCATTTTCCAATGGAAAGTTCTGACCAGCTGCACTGATAACCTGCTGTTTCCTCCAGTGACTAAAGTGGTGAAAATGCTCTCTCCCTCACAAAAAAATGACTCTGTTAGCAAACAGAAAAAAAAAACAAACTGCTTAATGAAAACCCATATCCAGCTTTCCGGAGGAGAAAGCCACCCACTGCAGCAAATCACCAGTGTAAGAAGTGGCACACTGGCTAGGCAATAAATCGTTTTGCAAAATCTAACTCACCACAAGCCACAAAGAAACATCTCAACAAAGTAATTATAGAAATATCCAGCTAGAAGAAAAAGAAACCTAGATAATTATTTTTAAAGGCATATTTGAAGATGTTAGCATATCTATAACACAAAACTACAAAGCAAACTGCTACATGACTCAAAATTAGTTAAAAAAACCCCAAACAAGCAAACAAAACAAAAAACAAAACAGATGTTAGCGTTTAAGTAACAACAGCAAGCCTACACATAATTTATTGGTAGGTATTAAAAAACGGGAAAAGTTGTTTCACACTGAGCAGAAACCTGGCTCGCATGAGCAACAGGCAAGTACAGATAACAAACTGAAACACTAAAAGTGCCAAACATATCTGGGACAAAGAATAAGCTGTGTAAATTGATGGTTAAGCTAGTGTGCAGCTGTGCAATACCAAAGAGATTCTTAATAATAAACTCATTATCCCAAAACAACAGATCCTCAGCAGCATATTGATGACCATGGGATAAATCTGCAATGTGCCAAGGCACAGGAACATAAAACTGAGCAGGGACGAACATCAGCTTGGGCTGATATACCAGAGACCAGGAATGTGACCAGATGGTGGGAAAAAAAAAAAAAAAAAAACAACACTGAAGTAATCATAACCAGTGGTTTCACCACAGAAATTTATGAAGGCTTCGTAATTGTTAAGGTAGTTCATTCTAGGAACAAGTTTGCCTTTAAAACGTTCTCTTAACTGAAAAGCATGCAACTCAAAATTACTGATGGAAAAGCACAGAATGGTACTTGAATGATTAGAGGGTTTGAGAACTAAATTAGTGTTTAGAAATTAAAGGTCCATGATTTTTTAAAAGAAATAACCAAAGGTTTCAGCAGATACAAATTCATGTGCACTGGGGAGATCGTTTCATTGTGAAGATTTCACAAATATGCTCTTACAAAGCGCTCACTGAAGCACAACACTGCTCAAAATGAAAGGGAAATGCTGGCAACTGTGAACGGTTTCATGAACGTGTTTATAGGCAGAAAACAGTAGAGACAAAATTGGCCACAAGCTGTTGGAAGCCATATTACAGAAATCCTCATGGAAAAAATCGCTTATGCTTCAGAAAGTGATCATGAAATTGCAAAAGTATTCGTTAGACATGAAATACAGGCTGCATTAAAGAATAAAATCTTCTTAGAATAGACAGTTTTCACGAGCACCTATTAATAGCAAAAATGAAGAGCTGTAGGAAGTGGTGTTTGCAGTAAACATGACTGCAGTAATACTCATTTTCGGAAACAAAAACTTGTTGTATAAGCTCAAATACGAAGCACAAAATGACCCAACCTAAACAGATTTTGAGAGAGGAATTCCAGATGAACGACCAATACTGCCCCAAGCACATCACCATACGAGAACTAGAGAGAGCTGCCTATCACTGCAATAGAAACATATTCTATACGAAGGACACAGCCAAAAACCACTAGACAGCATGAGGGTGGAGAAGCCTAAGAGTCCTGTTCTGACTGCTGAGGGACACTGCCGCTGAAGGTAAGGAGGGCAATTTGAAAAGGAAGCGGAACGTCAGCCCACCAAAACCACAGGACATTCCCAATTATCCTTAATTCCAGAATAGCACAGTCGGCTCCTTGACACATTTTCTTCAACTGAGCTGTCACACGATATCCAAGTAAATAACTCCATAACTTGATACAGGTTCTCTAACTATATTCACAGGCGCAAACACAATTGGCTCCCCCGGAGCGAGAGAGGCTGTTACATGGCCGAGAAGCACAGGGGCAAGCCAGCTCACATAAGGCCTTTCGAGTGCTTTGGTTGCTTTCGGACTGCGTTTACCCAGGCAGGGACTGATATGAGGAGGATCAGAATTAAGTGTCTGCAGCCCTTCATGTGGGTGATTTCATTAACCGCAGCTGAGCTGGAAGGAGGACTTGATTTCTTTACTACGAGCACCTTTACGAGTGCTGTCAACTAAGACTTTCGCAGGATCGGAGTTCGAGGTACCGAAGCATCAGCGTTCCCTTAGGACTAAAACTCTAGTAGGATGAGCTACAGCGGTATTTCACCGGTGACTAATGCTAAAAGTTTGTCTGCATTGAAAGTTAAGAATATGGACATGATACTTACAGTGCCTATACCTTATAAGTAAGATGAATACAAGCGCAGCTTTAAAATAGTTTTAAATCTAGCTTGGAAGACTAACTTTGGCTAAGCACATTGGCTTTAAAACACAGTTAAAAATAACACTGATACCCATAAAAAGGCACGGAGTTTAGACTAAAAGTACTCTCATTAGCCTAGCTCTAATTCACTTTTTTTAGTTCTATAAATCACATTTTCAAAAATGTTTTTCCTATCAATTTTCTGGTTTGCAGGTATACATGACCAAAAACCCTGATTCCCTACAAAGGGGACTATATTCAGAGTATACACAGACTATTAAGGCATAAAAATCAAACAAAATTCCAAAAAACTGGCTAATTTCTATTTTAAGACAAGGTCTTTACAATGGCTTTATGTGAAAATAAGTGGAAGAAGGAAAAAGCTACTCTGGAAAAAAAAAAGGGGGGGGGGAAAAACAATTTTTCTCCTCTCGTTCTCATAATTTTCCTCTATGCACGATCACTATGATTTCTCTCTCTCACACAGGGCCGTTCCAGTTAAATCCTGCAGCTTGCTCTGCTCCTTCTAGGTGAGGACAGATGTCCCCAGCTTTTCCTCGTTCATCGTTTAATTAACTGACAAAAGCAGCTTTGCAGAGCTCATTTTCCCCTGATAAATCACATACATACAGTGGTCAAAAAAATCCTGCAGCAGGAGAGGTTACTAAATACAGAGGGATCAGGGGACCTAATCAACAGAGACGTATAGACACATTAAAAGCGCTGCTTACCAATGCCAGCAATCTGCCATCTTCCTTCATAGCCAGAAAGCGATTTGCACTTACACCTTTGATTGACACCACTCCTCTTTCTTCTGCTTGAAGCTGCAGTTTGACTGGGAACAAAAAGACAAAGTAAAGTTTCAAAAACGTTGCAATATTTCAGCACTTGACAGAGCGAAGCCTACTGCTTCAAACCCAAAACGAGAGAAAGCCTGAGCTTTAGCTCACAGCCAAGATAGTAAGCCTTCCACCTCTACATTCCCGATTCCATGGTTCGGCAAAGAAAATGCTTACTACAAATTCAGTAGATGTTGTATAATTGGCAACACTAAGCATAAGTTACTTTTGCATGTGCCTTTTACTTATTAGCAATTCAAAAAACAAAAAATTCCTTATGGGAGCACTTACGGCACAGTCCACTGCTTACAGTATGTTGGAATTCTTCGTTTCCTTGAGTGAGTATTTCTCCACGTTTAAGAAACAGCATCAGGGACTGAACGCTTGCCATTCTATACAGCTAAACTGTCAGTGCTTATGGATACGAATCTGTACTATGAGCCTTAGGACCGTTTAGGACCACGTCCTTACGGGATCTCGCTAGCTCCTCTAGTGGTTCCCAACTGAAGACTGTAAATTGGTTTATGTTACGCTTCCAACAAGTGGCTAGAATAAAGAAATCAAAAGATCTGAAGAAAGTAGCTGAGGATAGCAAAGACAGGAGAAACAGAATTACATAGATTAGGAACAAGAAAATAGGGTGTATTTGAATCAATTGTTTTTAAAACTTAACTGCCATGTTTATTGAAAATCTGCAGGGTCCCACCACATAGCTTGTTAGCTACCGTCAGTGCATTTAGCACATACAAATTCCTCATCTCAACACAAAGTCTGGGTTGATTTTTCTAATTACAAATCAAATCCACTAGCTTAGAGCAAAACAGAGAAGTTTTCATTTTTGCCTGTGGCTTGTTTCAAGCTATAAAGATAAGCCAAAACTGGCCTCCACCTAAATCTGAGAGAGTTGCTGGCTTTTTTCCTTCTTTTTTTCCTTCCTCGATAGTCTGCATTAAGTCACGGCTTTAAGTGATTAAAACACCTGAACTAGGAAGTTGCACGCACACTGCATTTCAGCCTACCTCTAACGTGAATATCTATGACAATGTACCTCAGAGTTTAGATTTTTCAACCGTCAGCTGCATCGGACTGGGAATATTGCAATGCAAGAAACTGTACCAAACACCATAGAAAAATCCACCAAACAAGAATTTGTCTACGTGACTTGAGGCTTTATAAGTCTTAAGCTCAAATAAAATCTAAACACGGTGTTGGAACTTCATTTTTCTGGAGAGCAAGAGGAAAGAGATGCAATGCACGTTTGCACAGTTTCAGACCATCTCCCTCTGCAAATTTAATTTAACAATATCTTAAAGGCCCATATATCAGGTTAGATGGACACTTCAGACTGCTTGCAGCTTGACAAGCAATTCTTCCCCCCATCATTCATAAAAACAATATACCAGTTCCCTGCAGCTCTGTCCCATTGGCATAGCGGGCATGATCAGTGCAATTCAGTCTGATCTCTGCTAAAAACAAGTCCAACCACTTCAGTAACAGCAGAACACAAGAAATTCTATTTCCCTGAATTCCTAGCTTTCTAGTCTGTTCTGGATGACCATTACTTCCAGAGAAACCTGGATTTCCAATCACTTTTACTTAAAGAATAAAAATTAGAAGCAAGCCCAGACAAGTACTGTTTTTCTGTGCAATACTATGCTTTCATCCACAGTTCCACTAAACTTCCCTAACAGGAAGCAAGATCATCGCTTCAGTGCAGGCATCCAAAATGTGAAACAGTGTTTTGCTTCTCACCTTCTCAGGGTATAAAGACAACGCTTTCACCAAAGAGTTACAGCAGCTAAAGAAGGAACAACCAGGATGTCGCAAGCTGGTACTGGTTATACGTCCTTCAGGTGTCAGGACGAAGGATGTGACTCATCTAGTGTGAGACTATCCGTGTTTCCAAACACCAACTGGCCTGGAATTTATTCATCCTCCTGTTTGCATCCCAGAAATTATTTTGGGCACTGGTATTAGTAAAGAACATTTTATATTTGAAAATGCTCATGACACTATACAGAAATCTCACTGTAATGAACGCCTAGCTAGAGGAATCGACAGCTATGCTTCATTCACTCAAAGTACTCAACTGTGGACTTGCACGACGTATTGTCATATTTTTTTGATTTCTTTCTTTGGAGCTTCCGTGAGAAACAGTAATCACTGCTTCATCCCAATATCTGCACCTATCCAGTTCTGCAGAGTTAGACTGGTACTACAGCTTAGTGGAGAAAGTCTAGCGGGCAACACTGGTATCCATCATCTCGGATAACAGCTTTATTCACCTACCTGCCTTAGTTAATCAGTTTTTCTATTTAAAGATGAATTATGTAAAAAAACTTGACTTTTTAACTTACCAGAATAAAATCTGAAACGACTATGTATTTTGTAGTGGAAGGGTCCCTTGAAATTCAGAGGGAGGTTGTTGCTTATTTGGCTTTTTATTTGTTTTGGAGAAAAAGGTTTTTTTTGCAATTCAATTTAAAATTTTCTTGGTTTATTTCTGCTTTTTTAAAGATAGGACTGAAGAAACCCTGATGATGAGAACACTGAGAAAAATAAATCTTTAGGATAATTGCTGCAAAGCCTTTTTTAAGCTTTAAAATTATTTCATCTCATTTTCGCTGTAGGTGCAGACAGACGTCAGCAGGAGTTTTTAGTAAATTTGCTAATTTATGAAGCCGCATTAATGCGCATGCTGCACTCGAAAGACGACAAAACGAATTCTTCTGAATTACGTGCCTATTGCCATTTTGCACAAAGAAAAAACAAATCCTCGTAATTCATAAATGACCCGCAACTTCCAAAGAATACAGAAACCTCTTTAATCATAAACACGTAGGTGAAATGTTTAACTGCATCCCAGCATCAAGTATCCAAATTACAGCCTCCCCCCCGCAACTATGTATTCGGCCAAAATCAAACTTGTGAACAACTTCAGAAGCCTCTGGTGCAACTCCTTGCCTTCTGGGAAAGTGAGGACATGGAGAAGTGCCGTGGGCAGCGGGGTTGAGATGTGCCCAAGTGCAGATCTTTCACCGCACGCTTAGCAAAATACAGCTGTGTGAAATATCTGAAAAGCGGTACTAGTTACTGCAGCGCGCACATATCATGCTTCGTGACTTTCTCTTGACAGAAAAGCATGCTGACCCCTAAAACTTCATATTGGGCCAGAAGTTCAGATTCTGTAAAAACAAACTTTTAGAAAAAGTTTGTAAGCCCTGTAAAAATGTTTGCATAGTCGAGAGAAGCTATTGAAAAGTGTTACTTTTAAAAATATATAGATATATTTCCCCGCAGAGTATGAAAAAACTGCAATATTGAAAGCCCCCAAAGGAAAATGAGCCTCACTGGATTTTCCTCTCCAACTTGTAAAACACATAAACAAAGGAGCCTAAATAGTATCTTAACTTTTTCAGGTTTCACTATTGTTTTACGGATTTATTAATGCAAGGTAACTGTTTTCCACAGTGCCAGGCTGATCTGGAGAGGCCAAGATATAATACAAAAACCTTGGTAATCAAACACATTTTGAACACATAATCACCAGCAGAAGCAACAATTTCAGGTTTAGCTCAATACAGCTTAGTATAACAGGTCCTAAGAGGAACCTAACACTTGACGCTACTGCTACGTATTTCTTGCAGCCTTTAGGTCACCAACAGCATTGGTCCAGACGCTGGCCATCATTTAAACCTATTCATAACATTAGTCTTCAGCAGACTTTAACCACAAAACCAGGTTCACGAAAACCTTGCTCAGCACCTACACAACCTTGTCAGAGCCCTGAAAATCTAAAGCAGACAGATTTACAGAATAATGCCTCTATGCGGCATGTTGCATCAGCTCACTTCAGCAGCTCTCTAAAATTTTCAAGCTAAAGCGTAGAAATAATCATAACTGTCAAAGCCAAAGAAAGTAAATTCTAAGACTAAATACATAATAATCTAATTCTTGTCACATACCCCACATTCTGCTTAGGCCATTATGGGTTATCTTTACTATTAGGAAAAACAAAATATTAGCTGTTAACTCCTGTGGAGCAGTTTCCATCCTGTATGGGGAAGTGCTCTTTCATGAGGCCACTTCTGCCAGAGACACTTGTGGGATACAACTTTTTAGAAAAGATACTAGATAAACCTGAGACACGACAGCAATTGCCCCACACCTTAAAGTTGCATTTACCTGCTGCCACTGCAGGAGAGACTCTCCCTTCCCGACAAAATTTAAGTAAACCAATTATGAAATTTGTAACCTGAAAAAGTAGCCCAGATTGCTGTGAACAGCAAATTAACAATGGGGGTATAAAAGGCAGGTTTTCCCAGTTATCCCGGCCCTCCTCTGCAAGGCGCCCAGAGGAGATGGGCTTCCCATTCAGGAGATGGATTTAAAACCTTCTGCTGCTGCAAACTTCTGATACTGTAAAATAGGGTTATAAAAGCATCCTAAATAAAACTCTCTCTTGAGCGTTTTCCTTGTTCCTGTGTCCAACACAGCCACAAAACCATTAGCTGAATAAATGAACCATTTAGCGAAATACAATTTGTGGATGCAACAACTCAGTCCACAATTCTGCAACGAAGATCGGGCCTGGAGAAAACATACTAAGCCCAGAACAAGCCACAGTGTAGCCTCTGACAAGCTGCTCAGCTAAAGCCCAAACAATGACTTGCCATCATAAGAGGGACAGGGAGCAAGCCACATAGAGACAAAATTCTCTAACCAAAGTTTAATTAATCAATATTTATAGCCTTAGAAGAGGACATACTAATAAGCTTTCTGATTAACAACTTGTTTGCTTAAAAGCTACCTAGCTCAGAAGCAAGATGTGCCAGGTAAATGTTCCAATTACAGGGGGGAAAAAAAACCGTAACGTATGAAAGGACACGACGAACAAATCTCTCCTTGCTCACCCTTGGCGTGACATCAGGAGACCCCTTCACATTGTGCACGTTCCTTGGAAGCACATTTTCCAATTCTCTTGGGCCGTAATAAA